TAGAAAAAAGATAAAAAAGAAGAAACTGTGACACAAGAGACAATAGACAAATGTCTGTACATCTCACAGAAGTACATCTACAACTTCAGTTGCTTTTTTCCAGTGAACTGTATAGTTAAAAATAGTTTTCTGCTTTTTTCTTTGTCCATTGTCACATAAATTACATTTACTCCGAAAGCTCTAAAATTTAATTCGGAAGAAATAGATCTTACTTGACTTACAAGCTCTGCATTAAAAGACCATGGAGCAGATCCCATCGAGAAACCACAGATGTATTAAAAGAACAGCTTCGAGTAAAATGAGTAAAACGAGGTACTTTTCAAATGCAACAATGTTAACTGTATATTATTTATTTGGCTATTTAATCAAAACAATTATTGTATTATCATTTTTAAATTAAATTATTTTTATGTACCTATGACAATGTATTTTGTAGTCGAGAAGACTTGATTAATATAACCAGTGAATAATTACACAAAAGCTACCAGTTGTGTAAAAAACATTTTCCTACGACCACTTAGGAAAGTGACACATATCACACTATATAGACCTATGGAAAGTGCCCTATATCACACGCGTATGAATAAGAATTTACTTTCCACCCAAGTGAGAATATGCTACTTTCCGCAGTAGCTGTCAGAAAATGTCAAACACATAATTTCTATTTTGATCTATGTAATGTCCATATTAATACTAAAATCGATATGATTGTTAAATTATTGTAAATTAGATCCTAGATATTTATCTTTAACAATTATTTTTAAAATAATTTTAAAATAACTAAGATATATTTGCTTTTTATTCTGGTTAAACACATAAGCGATTAGATCAATCAATTACCGTAAGGCCTGTTAGCTCAGTTGGTTAGAGCATCAACTTTGCAATTTGAGACCGTCCAACGACCGCGATCGAATCCTGGCTGTGCCAGAATTTTTTTTTTATTTTTTTTTTATTTTTTTTTTTATTTTTTTTTATTTGTTTAGAAATTATGAAAATTTAATAAATACGATTATTGTTGATTATTTTTTTAAATACATTTTAATTATTATAATAATCTGGTTTTACATTTTTTGATGAAATTATTTTGTGGTCGTAGGAAAAATATTGTACATCACTTGTGTGAAAAGTGATTTTCCACACTCGTGTGATAGTCGCACTCGGCTTACGCCTCGTGCGACAATATTTCCCACTCGTGTGAAAAATGTCACTTTCCACACTCGTAATGTAATATACTATTCCAGCCCAGTACTTTTTCATTTGGATCAACTCGGAAACGTTTATTTGAAAATGTACTTCTGAAAATATTCTGACACACACCCGCAACAAATGAAAACATTGATCATTCTGAATGAATCTGTACCCTACTAAATCCCGCGACGATTTTCTCAGTACACCAGGCATTAAAAATAATATAAAATTGTTGTGTTTATGTATTTTTTTAATTTAAATATTTTTTTTAGGTCCCAGTAAAAGAATGACTAACTTTGAAGATTGAAGAGATATTGTTTCTATTTCGATAACGCATGTGCCAGTCCCAAAAATATCCTTTGGTTGGGCCACAATTTTTAAACCAACCACTTGCAGATATAATTAAATCTCAAGCGAAATTTAAAAACAAAAAGTCTCTAGCTAGAAAACTTTCCAATAAATACAAGCAGTTTGCGCTTACCTTGTATTTTTTAGGACCTAGGGTATATTCCTTTGTCTAAAATTTTGTGCCTTTTGGTGTGTATTTTTCATATTGAGATTTTTATTAATTTCATTTTTGTAATACGTGTTTTTCGTATTTTGGTTTATTAAAATTAATAGTCAGTACGGGTACGTGTTTTATTTATAACAACTGTTTTCCTACAGTACTTTTCTTCAAATCTCATTTTAATTCAAAGTTCTAATAATTATGCATCTAAAAATGCAAATTTATGTGTACAACAAATTCATATGATTTATAAACAAATCCTAAGTCCAGTCTGGATTTATGAAATATAGCTACGAGGATGTGCCATAATATAAGTTTTCCAAAATAAAGTTCTAAGATGTATCATTGATGCACCTTGACTCTATCTAAACGATTATCTTCATACAGACAAATAAGAAAAAGAGGTTACCGCAAAACATGAGGGTCAACTCCACTCCACTCCCACGTTAATAAAGAAGTGCTGCAATTACTGGACAAATCTGCACAGAAGACTCGAAAGAAAGAAAAGCCATTTGAGCTAGTGCAGTGAACGTTAGCTAGTGTAAAACAGTGTAATAAATCGATACGTCAATTATTGGTGATGCTTTTCTACGACTACTAGATTAATTTTGTTTACAAAAATAGAATTGTAAAAAATCACGGATTTATACACAGAGTTGTCAAATTATTATAAGAGAGTATGACGAAAATCTTATTACAAGGATTGTTTATGGTATTATGACATATCATAAGGTTCTAAAACACATAAAAGGCTTTCAAAATGACAGTTAGAAAGTATATTCGCATTTTTAATGCCAGTTATTATCAGTTTAATCTATTTTTCTAGATCAAACTATCATAGTTGAAGGTGTTTTCTAGGAAAGTACACAATTAATTAATACATCAATAAATTGTAATAGAATCACTCTGTTAAAGAGTTAATGTTATCTAAAAAAACTGATGAATTAAGTACGAGTATTCGGACTGGTTCCTCAAATAAAAACTATTTTTTAGTTTAGCGATCAGTACAATTTAATTTAAAATAAATTATTGTGAAGCCTTATGTTTCTAATTATATCACTAACCTTCAATTCAGAGAATAAATAGTGGATGTTTCTAAATAAGTTTGTTACATATATTTAAATCCCTTTCTCAGTGTATTATCCGAATTTATACGAATCTTGGTAATTTTTACCAGTGCAACAACCGGCAAGAACGTCAATCAAGTGTCACTTTACATTTTGGCCACCCAGACATCAAACATGCCGACGCAAGCCTTCGCTTCTGTAATAGTTATTCTGTGCTCAAACATCATCTTCGTCCGATATTGGCGATTCAATTTAATTTTCGCGCGCCTGTCATTTGTCACTTATAAGTAGGATGTTTGTTTATTTGCATGTTTTTGTTTTGGGCGGATTTTGTATTTGTGATTGTTTTAACTGTTTTTAGATAATATCCCAGTATAAGTAATAATACAGTAGCGACAGTTCATTGTTTATGAGGAATCCATATTTTTCTGCGCATGTCCGTAAATAAGCGGCAAATACGTCAAACTGGCATATATGAATTGTCAATGGATTAATGGTAGTTGATTGTTTTGATTATCTGATTGGTTGTAATGCACATTTTAATACATTTTTATTTTATTTAGACTTAGTTTTCATCTTTTATTTATTCAAACAGCCAAAGGGACAAGATATTTTAAAGTTACTTATTTCAGTGTAGAAATAAGCGGCAAAAACGTCAACTGTCAATAAAAATCTGACCACCCCGACATCAAAGGAGCCGACTCAAGCTGTCGCTACTGTATTATTAATTATACTGGGATAATATTCTCATTGTAATAGTGTTTTTGAGTTTCATTTAGTGTTAATTTAAGTTTAAGTCTCGTGCTTTCGTCATAAATATAATATTTATCATGTGTATGACTTATTTGTTGGAAATATTCACCTATTGGTTGCTACAAGAACATCTAGAAATATGTATTCACTAAACCCAGGACATGTTTTATTATGTGGTTTAAAGGACATTTCAGGTACCACACGTTTATTATTGATGAACTTATTTAAAAATCTTGCTAGACTTATGCTTATATTATGAAGTGAATCATGTAGTATTTTGTATACATGTAAATGGTAATAAAACCGTCACAAATCAGATTACAGTTTGATTCTAAACAAAGTTTTGTCAAATTTCAATATTGTGAATTTGTAGATATTCATTTATCGTAAAAAACAAAATTTTATGACTTGCACTTGGAAAATATTGAATACTTCAATTTTGATTTTGACATTAACACCATATAGATTGCAATTTTCTGTGAACATTTTCGCAGATTTAATTTTTAATATAAACAAAATCACATACTATAAGAAATAAACAAATTTAAAGCTAAAAAGTAAGAAAAAACTCGAATTGTAATTGATAAAAATTAAAATGTAAACAATGAACACGAACGCCAATGTTGCCAAATGATCAACTAATTTTAAAACAAAATTAATAAATGAACTGAAATTAAAAAAAATCAATATAATAAATCAGTTTTATAAAAAAATCCTTAAATAAATATAGAGTATGATTACATATTACCACACACAAATTTTGATTTTTAAATTAAAGGTCTTATCCACTTCTTCAAAAGCTAAAATCCGACGACGTAGCGAAGTTTTGCTACTTCTGGCAACACTGAACGATATCCTACTTATACAGACCTTCTACAAATTTCTTCCAGAGGGCGTATCACTTATCTTGAATCGCGAATGGCCATCATATCCACTCTTATTGCACAAACTACTAATTACATCCTGGATGTACCAAACTTATACTTTTTGACACATAATAAATATCGTGTACCTAATATTAACTTTTAATGACAGTTTTCGAAAAAATACATATTTAATTTCTAAAAGAACCCAGTTATAAAGGCGATTTTTCTTTGATGAATTGTTTTTAATCTCGAGTATTTGTACATCATTGATAACCAAAGATATTTGATAACTGTGCTTACATATAAACCATTTACTGTTAGGTTTTAATTTACGGTATTATTTTTTTAATAAGATCATTTGAAAAGGTAAAAAAGTGATGAGTAGGCACCTGGAACCAAATAAGGAAATCACAAGAAGTCAATTTGGATGCTAGTCACAAAACAATAAAAAAAAAACTATTCATATCAAAAGGCTACTGACCATGGTAGTCGATGTTGTTGATGCCAACATAAAACAAAAAAACGAAAAACCGTTAGGAATAAAATTATTAGCCATAAATCTGCTAACGTATCTATTAAAAAAAATGCTGTTATTATATTATAAAAAAAAATACTTACCCTTGCAATCATTTTTCCAAACAATCGATCATATCTACTTAAACAAAATAGAAAACCAACTGAATACGTTGTAGGTATAGTCAGTCCAAAGTGAAAGTACCTACTACTACTCGTACTCTTTAGCCTACTTTAGGAGATAAATTATATAATACATGAGTCAATTTCATTAACTAATTAATAAATATACAGGGTTTTCAGAGATGGCCCATTCTTCAGATATAGTTAATTTGGACAAAAAAAAGTCCATTGAAGTCAATTTATCTTAGTACGAAGTTACAAGGTGGAGAACATATTTTTTATTTCTCATTGTAATAATAATTCAATTATTTTTTAAGTAAATATACTCAAATTTTGTGAAAATGAGTTTTCTGAGTGATTACAAACGAATACAATAATGTTTGTTACATTACATGTACAGGGCATTCGAAACTAACATGCCATTAAAGTATTTACTTCAGATTTTTTTGAGAATGGACATTTTTAAAAAAATAAATAATTATTTTAAAAAAGTTTCCAATTTGCTTTAAAAATGGTATAATTGTTGCATATCGTTAAAATGCATCATTTCATTGAAAACTTGTATAATTATTGTCAAACCAATATTAAAGAGTTGAAGTGTTTCCAATACGTTAACGTAAACGTGAACGTCAACGCATAAAAATATAGCGTTTTCGACTGGTGAAACTGGTGCGCACTTTTTAACACTCAGTGCAAAATTTGTTTTCGAATCGTAAGAGCAGTGCGAACCGGGTCAGTTTTTGAATTTTCGGTTGGACTCAGTTGAACTCAAAAAAGTGAACCGGTGCGCACTTTTGTGAACTGAGTGTAGAGACAGGTTTTCATTTTCAGTTCAGTCGTAACAAATATGGCGATGGCAAATAAAGAGTTGTTTCTAAAATATGTAAATTTTTTAGAATTTATAAAGAAATATTGGAATTTTCTTCATCAGATTTAGATAAAGAAGATTTAATTAAGGCCAAGTTTAATAAAACTAAACTACCAATAATAAAAGATTACATTGAATTGATGGGGTCGCACCTGGATGACTCCCAGGTAGGTATCATAAATATTCTTGTAATTCCTGTATATGCACAGTATACGTTGACATCTTAAGAACTTAAACATAAGTAGGTTTATGTTAATCTGTTGATAAAATATTCTATAGACAATATTAAATAAATGTTTAAAATGAAAGCTTGTCTTGGATCTTGTTTGGAATTTGGAAGGTACTACCCGAGAATAACGATCAAGAAGAAGCGACAGCTTGGTGTTTTTAGTGTACCGTTTTGTAACGCGCATGTGCGAAAATAAGTTGTGTATCACTCAAAATGATGTTATCTGTCAAAGTCAGTCCAAGTTGTGTTTAGTACGTGAGCAATGTTAAGTGATATTTTTTGGTGTTTGTTTTGTGTATTAACAAGATGAAGATTTTTACACACTTAGGTATTCTAATGCAGATATAAAATGTGCCAAAAAAGTTACTAGGAAACTAAGAATTTTATCACATGCATAAATATTAAGTATAATGATTTAATCATTTTTGACATTTTATTTTTCATATGTAGGAGATTTTGTTTATTTTATTTTGAAATTATATTTAAAAAAAAATATAATAAATCCGCGTGTTTCAATTAGGATTGGTCAAAATGGGCGAAATCCCTTTATTATGGCTAAATTTGAAAAAGGGTTGTTTCTTCATAAAAAAATATAATCAGAAAATGGAAGGAGAAAGCTCTAAACGTTCCAGACTTTACGGATGTCGACAAAAAACTATTATTCCATTTCGTTATTTAGCACAGAGATGTGATTGAAAATAAAAATCGATGGTACAAATGTAAAAGAGACCAATGAGGCATGGCTGGAAATAACTAACAACTATAACAGTAATTGTCAGACGAGCCCTCATACTTCCAAACAACTACATGCTCTGTATGATACAATAAAGAAAAAAGTATGGAAAAATCTTCACGACGAAAAGGTTAGAAGTAGTTTTTTTTAATTATATTAATATTTGCACATTTTTTTATAGAAGAATTTATATATAACTGGCGGTGGAACTTTTATTCCACAGAGTGATGAGCTGAAAAGAAAATCTCTACAGTTTTAAAACCACAATACCAACCTTTGCACAATAATTTTGACTCATCAGCTGAGGTATTTTCAAGGTAAGGTTATGAGTAGAGATAAGGGACATAAAGATAGAAAACGCTCATAAGAATCCAATGTAACGAACAGCTTTAACGCACTTAACATCTGACCCACTATGTGGCGCTTTCATCGATATCAAACAACGCAGCGGGAAATTTAAAAACCTGATAATAAAGGTTGTATATAAATATCGACTGCACTCTCATGTTCTTGTAAATAAACTTAAACAATGTAATTACGCTAAATTATTTATTAAAAAGAATACTACACTTACAGTCTATTAATTATTGTAAATCTATTCATGACAAATATTTTTTAATTTTTGATCGTTATTTGTAACATTACATGTTTGTTCTTATTTTCCAAACGAATGGCCAATAGTGTCTTATTTAGAAATGTTGAGTGCAAACTCAATAATGGGAATTCAGTCTGAAGATATGCAAAGTCCCACAATTCAAATTCCTCAGTTGACAAATACAGTATTATCGCGAACCAATCAGTCCAAAAGACCATACAACAAATATAATGTACCAAAGGAATCACGAAAGCAAAGTGTTGATCATTTATCAATAAGAATAGTTGAATGAAAAATTTTTAAAAATACACATAGATTTACAAAAAAATCTGATGTGTCCAACACATGACTTTCCTATCTAGTTATTATAGGCTTTTTCCGGTTATTTTGTACAACCTATTGCAGCACCTCTATAAATGTTTAGAGGATAAACTAAATATATACATTTTTCACATACATCTACCTCGAAACATTTTTCTATAGATATTCATTGAAAACGAAAATACTGAAAAATTTAAATTTAGCACTTTTCCTCCAATTTTTCCATTACGGTCCATTTTAGAAAAATCATGTATAAACAAAAATTGTAGAGATCGATATCACAAACAACTTTTAGTTTAACAATTTTCTTAAAAATCAGAATTTTGCACATTTTGTCAAATTTCTCGAATACGGACCATTTCAGGAAATTTTGACATTTAACAAAAATTATAGATGATAATATTAGAAGTAACTTTTATTAAAAACAATTTTCCTCTCCAAACATAAATAACAGATATATTCCATAAAATATAAAAACGGCCTCCCATAAAGTACCCCCCAAATGTTCCGACTTTGTCCAAAATCTAATTATTTCACGTCAGGCCTAAATAAACCTTAAGTTTAAAATTGAACGTTTTTTTCTTTATCCGTTATTGAGTTTTCTTCAAAGTTCGAAATTTACACATTTTCTCAAATATCTCGAATACGGTCCATTTTAGAGAAATTATGTGTAAAATAAAAATTATAGAGAATTATATTACAAACAACTTTTATTTGAACAATTTTTATAAAAAAATATGTTTTTTACATTTTGTCAAATTTCTCGAATACGCACTATTTTAGAAAAATTTTGTATAGAACAAAAAATATTGATAATAATATTGTAAGTAACTTTTATTTAAAAAAAAAATTCTTTTTTAAATGTAAATAACAGATATATTCCATAAAATATAAAAATGACCACCTATAAAGTACCCCCCGAGATGTTCCGACTCTGCCCAAAATCTAATCAGTTCATTGGATACCAGAATTAAGCTTAAGAAAAATCGGCAAGAGAAAATCAGCTAAATTCAACAACTGTTGAATTACTAATTAAAGAGGCCGAATTAAAATTAAAAGAAAAAGAAATGGATATGAAAAATATGGAACTTCAGCAAAAAACTGATGAACTATAACATTTCAGACGGCTTCAAGAAATGGAAGTTGAAATGAAAGAACACGAGCTGGACATGAAAAAGAAAGAAAATGCCTTCTACAAAAAATAATACATTTTTATTTATAAGGTAATTTTTTAAATACATTTTTCCGTCGACCGACCATTTATGATGTATTTTAACGCAGTCAAAATCGTTGATTAATGACCCCTATTAATGAATGATTTTCTATTATTCAACGATTTTATTATATGCAACCCAACGTACATTGATCTTATACTGTCACGAATTGCATTTAAAAATAATTAGATTTTTATTAAAGATAAAATAAAGTACTTTCCAAAAATATATTTCAACTCAAATTTTATTAAATCCATTTCCAAAAATATAATTTTATTTCAATCTTTTTAATTTCCATTCAATTCCAATTTGTGTTTAATATTACATTTAAAGTTATTTAAAATAATAACAATCTTTTCGTCTAGTAATTAAAAACTTTATTTTATGGTGAAAATAAACAATGCACTCAATTCGGTTATGCTGATTCTACAATTTCAAAACAATGTTGGGGTCAGCTAGCCAAATTGACAAAACAAAAAATAACAACATTTTTGGCACAACCGAGGCTATAAGTTCTTCGGCTGTGACGAAAATCGGCAGTAGGTAATACTCTGCTGTATTACAGCAATAAAAATAAAAATAAAAATAAAGTCGTGACATTCCAGCTTGCTGTTAAAATATGTGGTAAGGTTTTTTATAAATCTAATAAAAAATAAAATAAAATAAAAAAGGTATTTCTCAGAAAAGTAACTAGTTGGTTCTTTAAAGTCTTTATAGTGTATATATATTGTATATTTGGGGTGTATTATTATATTGGGGATTTCTGGACAGTTCAGGGGATTTTAGTTTGTATTTATTAAAGATTTGTAGTTTTTTATGCAGTGACTTTTATTCCTTCCCAAGTAGCGTAAAGCCAAGCCAAGCGTAATAAATCATAAGAAAGGTTCTCCAGTGAGTATTTTCGGGTGGCGCAAAGATCTTCCTCAACTGGAAGATCGTTTGGGCGATCCGAAATACGCAGTGGCGTACCCCACGATTAATTGGTTTGCCTAACAAACCACTTAACGTGACAATACATTTATACTGACAGTTACCTATGGAGTAGGCAACCAAACATACGTATACATTTAAAATCAAGGTGTGTTAATACAATCTGTCATTGTGTCATTATTT